GTCCGCGTTCAGCAGGCAGGGCCGTCCGCGTTCAGCAGGCAGGGCCGTCCGCGTTCAGCAGGCATACACACACTCTTTACTATGGACATGCATTCCTGCATAGCAGACGTTGTGCTATATGATGTTATACGAATGTCTTGGATACATGTTAAGGGGGAAAATGCCATACTTGAAACACTGACCCCCCTCCGCCCCCCCGATTGTTAAACTATGAGTAATGCCAGAAGGAGTGGGTGGTCCGGGTAAATATTTTTTCAGAGAAATTTCTAGAATGAACAAATGAAAATGATTACCCCATGATTTTCTCTTCATTGTTTCACTTATATAATATCTTGAGACCTTTATTATTCTATAAATTGTTAAACTCCAAAAATGAAATACTGTGTGTAAATATTGTTAAAAAAGGGATAAATAAGGACACAAGATATTAGAACATGGCCCTGATGTCACATGATGAGGGGAATCGCGAGGCTGAGGGATAGCCTGTACTCAATACTGGTCTAATGGCGGATTTGGGTATTCCCAGTATAGCCCTGCCGGGGGGGGGGGCTCTCGGTGTCCTTCTCGGTAGGGGGACCCAGGTGGTGCTGATGACCAAATTCCTGGAAACACACAAGAGGGTCAGTGATTCAAAATGGCTCACAGCATTACGAGTGAAACCAGCCCTTTGAAGATAATCACCCTATACAGCGGCGTGGGTGAGGCCAACAGGAAATTTCTACACTACTGTGGGTGACACAGCCACCCCCCCTTTAAAAAGTTGCAGCTTTCTTCATCCTTCTTGTTAAATGGCAGATCGAGTCTTTTCATTAAATCAGCCTGCAGCCAGTTTAGGGCCCTTGTTTGTGTCCACGGACATTGGGATTAGTGACAGGACGCTGCCCCACACACACAAACAGTTATGGCAATTTTGGAATTCACCAATGTACTACGGTAGTGGGAGAGGGTTATTTTTGGAGGGGGGGGGAATCCCAGAGGAAACCCTTGTGAGTACCAGAGGAGTCACGACACGCTGGCATGGAGCGGGGAGGCAGGCGCAGGAGTCCGAAGATATGGGAAAACGCGGGATTTATTCAGGAAAGGCAACTCGGGGAACACGGAGAACCACACAGAACTGACTTCACAACGGCACAACGTCAATGACTGGACTAACGAAAGGCACACAGACACGGACTTAAATACACCACAGAAATTAACATGACTAGGAACAGCTGGGGAAATGGGGAGTCCACACGAGGTAGAGAGGGGGGTGTGGCACACGGGAGGGTCAGGACAACCGGGGCATGACAAGAGGTGGATAGTTCAGGCCTAGAAAGTAAAAATCCAGACCAATGTTTCAACCAACCGGTTGCGGTTGGTTTAAACAAAATTTTGGCCTGGATTTTTCTTTCTAGACCTGAACTCCCCATACCCGGTGAGTGCAGATGGACACACATGTTCAGATAGGATGAAGACTGAATCCAAGCTGTCAGTGTAGTTTTGTACGGACTGGACCACACAGTGTCTAAGTCCCGTGTTCAAAGGTGTAGGAGACACTTTCACAATGGGGGGACACAGCTTAATTTGTATCAGGATGGCTGAGTGGTCTGAGGCTCCAGAGTCAAGGATAATCACTTTCATTTGCGAAGTGAGTGTTATAGTCTCTGAATGGAGGCCTGAGTTCGAATCCCACTTTTTTGTGGGCAGTGGTGTCTTAATGGTTAGGGAAGCACACTTGTAATTGAAAGATTGCTGGTCGAATCCCCGACCAGCAAGGCACCACTGAGGTACCCTGAACAAGGTACCGCCCCCAAGCACTGCTCCCCGGGTGCTGAATTAGCTGCCCCCTGCTATGTCACAATGTCACATGTGGGTTAAATGCAGAGGACACTTTGTTGTTGTGCACTGTGTGCTGTGGTGTGTCAACTATGACCACTGATCACCAAATTCTAATTATTTAAATGATACAGTCTGTTTATCTGTTTCTGGTGGGGGGGGCGATGAAGGCAAATTAAATATTGGGGGTACAGGTCCTCCCCACCCTGAGGTTCCTGTGGCCCTGCTCGAGTTATCTGTGTTTATATGTCGTTCTGGGTGAAAAAGCAGCGAAACGTTTCAATGGCTACAAGGTGTGGCATTTTTTTAGGAAAGGTAAGTAAAAGTAACTACACGGTGCCTTCACTGTCCCCCATTAGGTAACGGTGTCATGTCTTCATATAAACGCTTTTAAAAATGTGTGGTGGACTTTTGGCACCATGTCAGTGATGTACCACCATCTGGGCTGTTGACTGTCGCCCCCTAGTGGTACAGTGTTGGATTAACACAGTGGTTTCAGTTTCATTTTGGTTTTCATGCTGCCCCTGGAATGAGAACCCAACAAAAGAGAATGGAAGCCTTTCTGTAAGCTACACTACAAATTGGGAAAACAGCCGCAATACCCTGCGTGGATGGGCAGTCATCACTGCTGATGTGCACCGTGTAGGAGGTTCAGGGTGGGGGGGGGAAGGCTACAGGTCGGGAACCGGTCATCGCCTGTTCATGAGATCCGCCTGGCATGAATTTGTAAGGGTGAAGCAGTGAATCAAAGCTTGATTGTTCTAGATGTTTCCATTTTCTGTGCTGATCTCCTCTGAGTGCGGCTCTGTGGCGAACACGTCGAATACGCCTTCGGAAACCTGGGTTTCACTTGTGGAGTAAAATCCAAGGCCGCCCCATCTCTGAACTGAATCGTCCCCCTAAGAAATTCTCCTTTCGTGACGTAAGACAGAGCGCCATTGTAAAACTGCATGACTGTCTTCGCGTCCGTATGTCTGGCAGGTCTCGGGGAAAATACACACACTTCTGTTCCCGGCTGCCTTGTCGCCATCGGCGCCTTTGTGTGCCTCTGAATTCTGGACCGCAGTAGAACACAGATCCATTGTTGATAGAGATTCTAGAATAAAAACAACAGCTACCCATAATCCCCAGCAGTGAGCACTCTGTGTGCCAGATGGGAAACAAGGAGAAGTTCGCTTTCTATTCATAGAGGCAAAGCTACTGGTTCCAAAGAAAAGAATCAGCTATTGGACAGGACTCTTGGGTTCCTGAGCTGGACATAAAGGTACAGACACAGAGGTAGGGAGTGACGTGAACGCATTTGGCAGGTAAGAGGGCCTCGTGAAATCAGTTATTTGTGGTAAAGGATCCAGCAAAATGTATAAACAGATGCCCCCCCCCCACCCTTATATTTACACTCAGACCCACTAAACCCCCTCCGCTCCGCACAGTGAGGCTGGAGTAGTGTGACGACCCATAAATCCCTGCACCCCCTGTTTAAACCTCCCCAAATATCACGCTTGGTCACTCTTTGGGTTCACTTCAAATTAAAATACACAGTTACAGCTCGAGTTGGACAGATCAGCCCATAAAGTCATTTACCTGCCGCATAAATTCAATGTTCGTCATAATAATCACTATTTCTGTAACTGTATATAACTAACTTTATATATTACATATCATTTTTATCGTTATATTATATAAATATTATAATTACCAATGGCCTTTAGCGATTTGAATCCAGTCTAAAACTCTCTCATAAATCCAAAAACATTCACCTTTTACAGAGCATCATCATGAATAGTACACAGTAAAAAACAAAGGGCTCTGAACCTGAACTGCTGAATCAGCATTCGCAGTTATAAAAAAGGTGAAATGAAACAGCTTTTTCTGTGTAAGCTGTAGTGAAAGTGCCGTTTCTCCCCGAACCGATTCGGTGGCCATTCTGTTGATGTTCGCACCTTGGAGATGTGCCTTCCACAGGGACGGCGTTCCTGAAGACCACCAGGGGGAGCAGTTGTGCAAAAGCAAATATTCTGGGTCACATTTGGCCCCTGCGTCATTGCTTTCCTGCCCCCTTACACCCTGCCAAGTGGCGGCGATATATACACTTCTACTGCATAACATGAGGAGGCAGAGAAGAAGCGACCGTCAGCTTTTGGGAAACTTAGAGGGAAAAGTATAGAACGACGGCATCTTCATGTTTTACGTTTTAAAGATTTTTCTCAGTGAACTGAACTGAAAATATATTTGAAAATACTCCTCGCAACCACGTGTTACTCAGGTCAAGGGGAACAGTGAACTATTTAGAAATACCGGTTAGCCTATTACGCTACCGGTGTTGCAGGAGAAAATCTATGTAACATGGCAAGAACATATAAGCACTACGAAAACCAGCTATATATGTTTTTTAAATTATGCCAAACTGCCGTGTCACAGATAACCGTATGAGTGTGATCAACTGTGTTTGCGGTACTACAATGTGACGCTAGATGGCAATAGATAACCTCACACGATTTTACTAAGTAGAAGCTGTCTAAAGTCGCATTAAGTTGTCTTTATGGTGTGTATTGTGTGTTTATGGGTTAGTCAGTTTCACCGAAACGTGCTCATTTACTCTCGCATTAAGATTTAATGGTTTTATAATGACCTTGACATTCGTCAAAATATGCTGCCGAATGTCACAGTTCTTTAGAAATTAGGACTGAGACTAATTTTAACAAATACGTCTCACTCTTTGAATTCAGATGGGAAAAACTTGGAATTCGCTGGTTTGAAATGATTAGTCTGATCTGACTCACACACGTCTAAACGTTGATACAAAGCTGGCTAACCCGCCTTAGCAAGTATATTGATGAAATAAAACAAGACACGTGCCCAACTTTCCAATGCCTCTGTTTTCTCTAGCTAAATTCTCATTTCGATGTGTGTAATGTACCAATAACTTTATTCCGGGTTTTTTCATGATTACACCCAATTTCCCTGATAGATATATGCCTTCATTATCAGGTATATTTATTCAAAGCACGTCAGTTCCCGGGTAGTATTCAGGAAGCACAATGTGCAGGTCTCACATGATAATTACGATAAAAAAAATATATAGGCCTACGGAATTTGGACTTGAAAAACCAAAGGATCAAAGACGTGGTGGGAGTCTGAGTGTTGCAACCTTCTGCTTAAATATTTACTAGAATGACGTTTAAGACCGGGAGAGAGCTAACACGTCGTGTCATTTAGTTTGTAGACTACTTCTGTAATCGCTACCACGACTCAAAAGCACTTGTGATGTACAAACTGTGCACTATCTGTCAAAGTAACATTAACTTCCATATTAAATTCTTTAAACAAATCATAATGCATGAGACAACTGATGGTAATTAATTAGCTCCATTACGAAAGCGGTTGCGCATATTACACCAATCTAATCCTGTTGGGTTGAAAAATGTCCTGTTGACAGTGCAGTGACGAAGAGGCGTGTCGGCACTTGGGACCAAAGTCAAAGACAGAGACTCGGAGAGCGAAGCCCAGTCCGGCCAGCCGCGGCTAAACAGCGACGAGCGCGCTGGGGATCCGCAAAACAGATGCATACTACATAAACTCCTTCGCTTTTTATAAGTCTTCACCACAATCAGGTAAGTCACTGTGCGTTGTGCTTTTGGTAATCTTTTTTTTTTGTGTGTCGTTGCTGTGGACTGTTTTTATTGCGTGCAATTGGAGACAGTCGCACTGATCGAAATATAAAGACGACTCTGTTAACATTCCGTTAGGGTATTTCATTATTAGTGTATTCATCAATACGTGTCTTTGTCCAGCATTTTTAGCTGTATGTGTCCTTAAAGCACAAATATGTGCTTGTCAGTCTTTTCTTCCGTAGCTGAAATGAAAGATAGGCTTTATTTGGGTCTTTGGGTGTAATAGTTGTGTTAAAATCCTACCTGCCGGCACGTAGGTGTCATTGTGCTGAATCGATGCTTTAATTTTAAAGCCATTAACATGTGCAGATCGAATGATTCGCATGCACTGCGACATAAATGCGCTTGTGATTTACTGGCTTGATCGATATCCTTTCTATGGCTGTGAATTAGTCTGTTTCTGTAGCGTCACACTGAGACCGTCCGCAATGCTGCAAGGCTTTCCAGCGCCACTAATGTCCCCGTTGTGGCAATGGCTTATTTAAAAGACCTTCGCCTCTGTATCATATAAAGTGTATTTGTCAGTAAGCCGCTGGACACAAGTTTATTTGATAGGCTGTTTGAACTGTTTTGGCTTAATAACACACCGGGCAGCATGCCGGTAAAAAAACGGTGAATAATAATACTCAGTTTTGTGGACGAGGAAGGGCAGATTTACACCATTACTCCCCAATTTCGTCCCCTAGCTTCAAAGAAATGGTACTGAAAGGGAGTCAAAACGTCTGGCCCTTGTTTTTCCGTACATGTTTTTGTGTTACTGCAACAATAAAACGACGCGCCGGTAAGATAAACCCGTAAAATGGGACTGGCGAAGTGTGTAAGGGGACTGGCGCGGCTCACGGGAAGCTTCCCATAAAATCTCTCATTAAGGCAGCTGCTTAGGAAACGAACAGATGGATTTAAAATGCGCCGTTCTGGGCACGAAACCTACCGCAGAGGCGGAACATTGTTGATTGTTCAATACAACCCGGGAATATTTCAAATTGGACATTATCGTTAATAAACGTGTGCAAAGAAGCCCTGAACTTTTCAGGTGTAGCAGAGATACGCATCGACTTGATCAGTGCCCGGATTTTGCGTGTTTCCCGAGCGGTATGGTGTCCGCCACGTGTCCCCCGGTCACCCCGCACCATGCGGGCGAACAGATGAAGGGCCGTGAAGCACAGCGGGGTCGTTAGAGCTCACAGCCGGCGCAGACGCGCCGCGGTGCCGATCCCGGTGTGTCCCCGGCCGGTCCGGCCTCCTGAGTTCTTACGGGAGAGCCCCTATGTCACGCCAGTGATCTCTAACAGTCGTCAGAGTCACAGATGGCAGCCTGGCGCACAGACGGCGCCCCCTCTTCGCCCTGTCTGGCGACAGACTGACTTTGCTTCTCTGGAGGGTTTGAGGATTACACCGTTCGGATCTCTTGCCCCCGATCTGGGATGCCAGGGTGCCCTTCAGACCCCAGGGGGTGAATCTGGGTGTGAGGGGCTTTATATATTTAGGACCACCTGTAGTCCACCTGCTGGGACAGGCCGTCTCCACGAGCGACCGCTCCTGTCGCTCCTGCACTGCTGATTTTTCACTGGCTTCACGCTCCCTCATTCCCATTACAGCAGACCAAGGTGGTGCATTGGCCTCTCATAATTCAGCGCGGTCCACACAGCCTGCTTCTGTCCGACGTGAACAGAAAAGCGAATTAAACGGCTCCCTTTACAAAGGACCAGCGCAGTGAGGAAGCAGACTTCGCTCCTGGACGTACCCCATGTGTGCCCGGCCCGGCGCCGCGTCCTATCCGTGATTAAAATGCCCGTCTCTCGCGCACAGCCGGCCTCGTGATGCCTGTGCCCGCCCCATTGTCTATTTGTAGTTTAATAAGTGAATTTAATGGAGAGCAGAGATTGAAAGTGAATTGAAACACCCCTTTGTGTTCCTTGGATGGATGGATGGTTTATTTTTTACTTTTTGTTTTCAATGGCCCATTTAAGACCCATATAATAGCATTTATCTTGGGCTGGGGGGGGCTATTCAGTCCATGAATCGGACCGGCTCTGCTTTCCACGCGCTTTGGCCAGGAGACGCTCGTTCCCCCATAAATTCACACTCCTGCTGCAAAATCACTCGCTCGCCGTCGGACTGAGAAAGACAGCGAGGCATGTTCAGCCACGAACGTGCACTTTGACCCCGAGGAGTGACTCCTTCCCAGCGCCTGAGCCCCTGATCGGCTACACCAAGATGCTCTGGACACTTTCTATGTTTTACGATTATTCAGAAACTTTCACACAGGCTGTTCTCACCTGCCATAAGTAATCCGCTCCACAAACCCTCACATGAGTCAAATTTTACTCCCAAACCAGTCAGATTAACTTCATGTACCATTCAAGATACCCCTTAGCAAAGAGGACATGAGCCAAAATATACTAGTAATACAACTGACGAACACATATTAGATGAAGGAAAAGATGAAGTGTCCCTTTACCCAGCTACTTACAGCCATCATTCTGCATTTGCGGTAATAGAAACTAATAGAATAGGCCCTGACTGAGGTAACAGGACACTTCATGCAGGGCCCCCCACCCCCCCCCGGTGATGTACCCCAGCCTTGCCCATCTGTCAAAATGTTACTTTATTCTTGCTTTTGGCCAATCTGAACGTCACACCCCCCCACGTTGGCCTCGCCCCCCCCCTCACGGAGGCCAGGGACCGATGCCTGCGGGTCCTTGGTGCCCCGCCCGCTCCAGACCCTGTATCTCGCTTTGGGGGCCATAACAGCCCTGCCCCCCCACCAGCATAGCCCATCGTGACGTCATCATTGTTTGGATAATAAACGGGTCAAATTTGCATCTTCCGTTCTGCTCAAATCTTCCCTTTTCTGCTCTACGCCGTTCCTCACGATGTATTTGTCTGTGAACTTATGAACGTTCTGGAGGCACCTGATGGGAAACAGTTCAGAAACGACGAAGCTAACTGGGCTGTACCCCATATCTCCTTCCTCGCATGACCCACTGGCAGAGGCTGAAACACACCATCCTACTGCCTGACCTGAGAGACCCTCTCAGCCTGTCCACACACCTGCAGCTTGCGGCCTGAGCTGTTTATCCACACGGCGATTCCTCATACATCATCAGTTACTACTGCCAGTCTTTTTTTAGTTCTTATTGTCTGTCAATGTGATCTCTGAGGAAACCAGGAAGTGTAAGAAAGGAGGAAAAATATTTTAAAAATGAGTGTCATGTGTCAGTACTGGGCTTCTGAATGCAGAGAAGTACTTCCTGTTAGCGATCACATGCTTCACAGCGGAGAACGGTGGCTCTCTCTGCATCCGACTCCTCGTGTCCGGCGTCCACACACATATCACCCCCGTCGCCCCCGGAACTGGTGTGTCAGAGAGGTGGGGGCGGGTTCCTTGACAGAACCAGAGTCCCAAGGTGGGGGCCATATCAATCCACATCAGGCTATGGTTTCTCATTTCCTGATCACTCAGGTAGATGGGAAAATCCACCCTACCAGCGAGGGAATCTCCACTCTGCGGCTGAGTTTCGAGATCATAAAGCCTTTATCCCTCCATTAAAATTCTAATGGCTTATCTTGGTGTAGGAGTTGTGAGGGGGACTGGACCCCATCTCAGGCAGCACAGGGTCCACCCCAGATGGCATGCCACTCCATCACTGGGAACATAAACTCACACTCTGCCGGCAATGTAGAGACATCAATTATGCGGGCTGAATGTGAGAGTACCGTCTGTGAGAGTACTGTGAGTGAGAATACTGTGTGTGAGAGTACTGCTTGTGAGAGATTCGCATGTTAGAGTACTGAGTGTGAGTACCGTGTGTGAGAGACAGAGTTGGATAATTCAAGTCCAGAGAATAAAAGTCCAGACCGGGATTTTGTTTCAACCAACCAGTTGAGAATAAAGAGTCACAGTCAGAGAGTATTCAACTTGTTGGTTGAAACAAAATCCCAGTCTGGACTTTTACTCTCTGGACCTGAATTACCCAACTCTGGTGAGAGTATTGTGTGAGAGAGAATCTCGTGTGAGAGTACTGTGTGTGAGAGTACTGCTTGTGAGAGAATCGCGTGTGAGAGTACTGTGTATGAGAGTACCATGTGTGAAAGTACTGTGTGAGAGAGAATCTCGTGTGAGAGTACCATGTGTGAGAGTACCGTGTGTGAGAGTACTGTGTGTGAGAGTACTGCTTGTGAGAGAATTGTGTGTGAGAGAATCCTGTGTGAGAGAATCCTGTGTGAGAGTACTGCGTGTGAGAGTACCGTGTGTGAGAGAATCCTGTGTGAGAGTACTGCGTGTGAGAGTACTGCGTGTGAGAGTACCGTGTGTGAGAGAATCCTGTGTGAGAGTACCGTATGTGAGAGTACTGTGTGTGAGAGTACTGCTTGTGAGAGAATTGCGTGTTAGAGAATTGTGTGTGAGAGTACCGTGTGTGAGAGAATCCTGTGTGAGAGTACTGTGTGTGAGAGTACTGTGTGTGAGAGAATCCTGTGTGAGAGTACTGCGTATGAGAGTACTGCGTGTGAGAGTACTGCGTGTGAGAGAATCCTGTATGAGAGTACCGAGTGTGAGAGTACTGCGTGTGAGAGTACTGCGTGTGAGAGTACCCACAGGAAACCCCTGTGCATGGGGGAACATAGCTACATGAACATATCCTGGAATGCTGAGCACTGTCCCTGTTACTGTATGGTATCGTGAGGGAACTTATTAATTAATGGGTAAAATTTGGCTTGTGAAGCCCTGCACTGAGGCCTGTTCTGTATGTGTGTGTGTGTGTGTGTGTATGAGCTGCGGGCCCAGCATGTACTACAGTCCTGCTGTTATACCCAAGCTGTCGCCATGGCAACGGGATTAAATGCGAAGACGTGCTGGAGGTTTGCGGGCTGCGTGGTCCTCCGGTGCGGGGCTGCCGAGGCTAAAGACAAGCGGAGAACATCTCCTCCCAGGGACGGGAACTAACTGAGGGAGGGCGGAGAGAGAGGGGAGGCGGAGAGAGAGGGGAGGCAGAGAGCGAGAGAGAGAGAGAGAGAGAGAGAGAGACTTACTGTTTACATTGGAGTGAGAGAAAGAGGGAAGAAAGGGGAGACAGAGAGAGGCTTACTGTCTGTGAGAAAGAGAGAGACGGGGAAAGAATCATTATAGCTTAGAAAGAGGCGCGTATAGATAGATAAAGGCTGTTGAGAGACACTCTGTTCACGTGTTATTTTGTAGAACAGAGGGAAGGAGAGACAGAGAGAGAAGGAGAGACAGAGTGAAAGATTCTCAGGCACCGGGTCCACTGCCTCTCTGGGCTTATGCAGACCGGGCGAGGAAGGTCAGCGGGACGCAACCTGATCAGCACCCGGGAGCTGGAGGGACGTGGCACTGGCGCATGCACTGGGTCTTAGCAGGGCATGCATGGTGCTGCCTTTTTATTTCCAGGCAGGTAGGTCCACTGGGGGGTATCATGGTGCTGGGGGGGGTCTGTCTGGCCCGGGGCTGTGTTAATCCTGGTAATTAGCGTGTTGTTTCTCGCCTGGGAATGCAGCGGGGCGGACTGTGAGGAATCTCTCCATGCTTGTTGTCGTTGTCGCTACTCGACCATCTGTGTGTTGGCCGGCCTTTCGCGTGACGCCGGATGCTTCGTGTCAGGCTCATTAGCGCCGAGGGGCATCCTTACACACCCACAAGGCCGTCCACACAAACAGGGACTCCACATGAGCACCTTCAGCTGGTCATCTTAATCCGTCACCTTTAAGTCCAGGCTAGAGTGCCCCCTACAGGTTGATGATGGACATTTCTCATGAACGAAGGGGCCCTCTGTTCATGACGGGGGATCAATTCCGCTCCGTAGTGACGGTGACACTCTGCTACTCTTCCCTTGGCCCCCTTCCTGTGCTGTGGAGTGTGGCTGTGCATTCACCTGTGTGACCTTGCGTTTGTGTGTGTGTGTGTGTGTGTGTGGGGGGGGGGGTCCTCCTTGGACCCACAAACGCAGAGCATTAACTTGCTACAGAAGAACATCGAAGGAAATTAATGGTTTGAATATTGTAACCTTGTTAACTTTGTTATAAAAATAAAGTAACCCGGGTTAATCGATCATCCGCAAACGGCCTGTTTGTAATTGTATTTGTAATTGTAATTACTATAGTGGGTTGCAGAGCACTAGTTGCATCATGGGTTTGGCTTGTTTCCCAGCATGCCTTGCTGTCCATAGAGAGTGTCGGACAATCCTGCGCGTCTGCGACTCCGGAGAGCAATGAGAAATGCGTCTAACTGCGGCCTCCTGCCTGCGGCTGTCTCTCCCCACTCCAGACCGAGTTGGCATGGAGGAGACACGCTAACACTGCACCCCCCCACCCCCTCCAGCTGAGGCCCGTGAAGAGAGCGAGCAGGTGTGTGTGAAGATGTGGCTGCATCTCGCCCTCCTCTGGATGTTCTTCTACGCCCCCCGGCTCTGGGGGCTGCCCTTCAAGTCCGACCTGGAGCTGGACGTCACCCCCAGGATCACCGTGCCCTTCAGCGGTAGGATCACCCCCCCACGTCTGTGTCCTGCGTCTGTCTCCCACCCCCCCACCATCCGCTGGCCCGCCCGAGTTCCTCCTCGTTCGGAGTCGTTCTGTTTTGCGGGGGTTTCTGCTTTCTAGAATCTTTCTAGAATCTTCCAAGACTCCTTGTCGGACTGTCAGACTGCATAAGTCACCCCTATGCAGCCCTGTCCTACTTAACCAAGTGCAAACATACTGCCGAATGCTTTTAGCGCTCGTCCTCGTTGTCGAAGCCGGCAGGCCACTGGCAGATAAAAACATAGTGGGGGTCCATACTGCATCGGGGAGTTGGGGGGCGGGGCCTGTCCCTTCCTCTCAGATGTGTTCTGTGCGATGATGTCACACGGTGTCGGCATGGTAACGGCTCCCACTAGGGGGGGCCGGGGGAGGAATGTAAACCTTTAGGAGGTCTGGTAAATGTTTAGCCAGCTCTAGCTGCGCCTGCAGCCAGGCAGGCGTGGCTGCCGTGGAAACGGGGCCCGGATCGCGTCCAGCTCAGAGCTGGGACTCGCAGGGGGGGCTGGATCTGCCTTCCTTATCGTGGCCATCAGAGTTCCTGCTCAGACCTGCATGCGTGGAGCTGACCCCCCCGGAATGACAGAGAGTGAGTCACCCCTCTGTCTGCATGGGCACAGGGCCAACACACCTCACACCTCATCTCACGGCAATGCAGGCCCCTCCCACTGCCCCAGGGAAGCTCCGCCCACCCACATTTGAGATGAGCACAGTAACATGCGTATTTATGGCCATGTGTTTTTATTTAATATGCCATGTAGTGCAGGGAGGTGCAGTGAAGGTGTTTCTGCACGTGTGTGAGCTTGTGTGTCCTTGTCTGCGAGTCCCAGGGAGGTTTCAGTGTGGCCGGCCTCTGCCAGAATCCCTCTGTTCTATTGACACAAATCCCAGCACACCTCATCCTCTTCCATATTTTTTTTTTATATTTAAATGAATTTCATTGATTTAGCAGATACTTTTATCCAAAACGATATACATTATTTGAGAAAGCAGGGGGGGGGGGGGGGGGGGGGGGGGTTAAGGCCCTTGCAGTGACATCACTCTGCTGACCCTGGGATTTGAACCAGTGACCTACCGATCACCAGCACAGCATCCCAAGCTCTCCACATGGTGCTGCTGCCTCGCCGTGTTTTTCCTGCAGGTTGTCCTGTCCGGTCCCGCATTATATTGAGGGGAGGGGGTGTCTTCTTGTCTTGCTGTGTTCGTACAGTAAAGCCCCCCATCCTCACTGGTAGCTGCCGCTCTCCTCCGGCCCACAACGGCCTGTTGTGTTACCCGCGCCGCTTTCACTCTCCCCTTTGCCCCCCTCCCCATCTCTCCCTGGGTTTTGTGGAAAACGCACGGCGACCCCACCCGCGCATCTAAGTCACCCTGTGCCTTCTGTCTGCACTGGGCCCTGGAGACAGCCTGTGGGGGGGTGGGGGTCTGGAGACAGCCTGTGGGGGGGTGGGGGTCTGGAGACAGCCTGTTGGGGGGGTGGCCTAACATTGGGTCAGATGGGTCTTGATAGGTTCCTGCCCCGATGGGCATCAGTAGCGGAAACTCAGGCAGGAGGGACAGGGCAGACGGAGCCCTGTGGGGGGTGTTTTTCCACTGCTCATCTTTTCTCAGAGCGCTCCCCCACCGTGAAAGCTCCTTGCAGTGCAATGTTTGATGTTTTCAGCTGACCATGTGACCTAGTCATGTGACCTGAGCTCCTTATCTGAACCAGTGCTGGATTCCCCCAGAAAACGACCTTTAAGGAGCAGCTGTATGAATGCGGTTTGATTGACTTGCTGACTGAAATGTCTCTCATACCTGTTGACGTCTCCCCACAATGCGGGGGCCAGTAGACCCAGTTCAGCTGGAATCTCACATAGCTGGTTCACCCACACCTTGATTCACCTGCCCGGGGAACAGGATTGGCAGGAGGTGTATGTGCTGTCACTGTGTGTGTATATGTGTGTGTGTGTGTATGTGTGTATGTGTGTGTGTCTATGTGTCTGTGTGTGTGTGTGTGTATGTGTGTGTGTGTGTATGTGTGTATGTGTGTGTGTCTATGTGTCTGTGTGTGTGTGTGTGTATGTGTGTGT